TTTAAAATATAATTAAAATGTAAAATATTTTTCCAAAAAAAGAAAAATACATAAAATGTAGAACATACATAAATAAAAATTGTGATATACATGAGTTAGAGAGTATAAAATATTATAAATCTTTTCTACATACATTGATTTATTAATAAAATATTATTATTTTTAATTTACTAAAATATTCCTTCCATTTCAATTAGTATTTTTTTTCTTTTTTTCTTTTTTATGTCCAATTTCATTTAACACATTTGCATTGTTGATAAAATTTACTAAATTGAAACATATTTCTATCGCTCTTTTTAATAAGTAAATATTTTTATCTATATTTAAAATTTTTTATTTTTATAAAATTATTTTTTTCTAAATTTTAAATAAATAAATATATAGTTTTAAAGAAATATTAAAAAAATATTTCTTACATACATTGATTTATTAATAAAATATTATTAATTTTAATCTACTATAATACTCTCTTGTGCTATTTGAATTGGCTTTTTTTTTTTTTTTTAATCTATCTCACTTCAAATTACACATTTATATATTTGATAAAATTTATTAAATTGAAACATATTTAATAAATATTAATCTAAATTAATTAACTTCATAATATATAACATAATACATCATATAGTATTCATTCAAAACATTTTTTGTTTATATCTCTCACTTCAATAAACAAATATTTTTATTTATATTTAAAATTCATTTTTTATAAAATTAATTTATCTTAACTATGAATATATATTTTATTTATTTGTATTATTTAAAATTTTATTCTTATATCCGCAATGCATATATTTTAATTAAGATATTATATTTAAAATATTTAAATACATATTTTAAATTTATTTTAATCATATATTATTCTTATTTTAAAACTACTAACAATATTATTCATTTAAAAATATAATAAAATAATATCATAATTCACTATTATTTAGCTTAAGCACTGTGTTCCTAATCAAATGATCAATTTAAAATGGGACAAAGGAAGTAGTACATATGGGTGGAACGAAAAATATAATATTCAAACTATTATTTTATCAATTCAAATTAAGTATGTTGTTATATATCTATTGATAATATGATATATTTATCTTTCTAATATTACGTATATCGAGAAAAATAAAAAGAAAAATGACACAAAATAAGATCATATTTTTATACATTATTAATTGTTGTTAAATTAAGGTATTTTTATTATAAATATAAATTGATAAAAATAAAAATAAAATAATTAATTGTTTAATAAGTTAAAAATTATAGAACTCGGAATATCGATATATATTGTTCAATATAAGATAAACAAGTACATTATGTATTGTTTAATACTTTCTTCGTCCGGACTTTTTATGTCATGTTGTTTGGGCACAACGACTAAGAAATAAAAGTATTTTAGGGTAGAAATAAGATAGGTAAAAATAAATTGATGATATTATAATGGGATAAGTAAAAATATTAAAAAATTGACCATTATTTGTTAAAATAAAAATAATAAAATTGTCACGTTTGTAAAAAAAAAAAAAAAAAAAAAAGAATAATAAAATTGTGGTCCCGTAAGGGATGAAGGTTGGACTTGTGACCACGAGGTTATGAGTTCAAACCCCCGACATCTCAAGTCATCTGCAACATATGGTTTGCCTGGTGTGACTTGCCCGTCGGAATTAGGTATTAGGTAGCAGCAGGTTCTCACGTCATCAAAAAAATAAAAAATAAACTATGTATATTTGTTAATCGATTGCGAGAATTATAATTTTAATCTTACTTAAATTCAATTATATGTAATTTTTAATTTTTAAAAGATCTCATTTGAATTGAGACGGAAAAAATGTTATTTATATTTAAAATAATAGATATATATTTTTTCAGGGATGTCAACACAATTTTTTTTTCTATTATTATTATACTTTAAGTTATTAAAAGAATTAATTATTTCTTATTTCATATATATTGTAAAATACAATTTTGAATGTGTTTAAGATTGGGGAGTACCATCATATATATATATATACATTTTTTTTTTGAAGTAACAATATAATTAATTGAGGGTATGTTTTTCTTTTTTTATTTTTATGTAGTTTGAATTTGATATTAAAATAATATATTATGATATATTTTATGAGAGGAAAAAACCTGGAGTTTGAGGTTACAGAAACAAACCCTCAGCAAGTCATATTTCAAACATTGGGACCCACATAAGAAATTAAAAAAAAAAAAAAAAAAAAAAAAAGAGAAAGTATGCTGCTATACCCACGTGGCAACACAGTTTCGTCTTAAATATATATACTATAAGATAAGATAAAATAAAATAAAATAAAATAAGGTACATTTTAAATTTATGTATAATTATTTATTATTTACGGTATATTTTAATTCGATTATTTTATAAATATATTTATAAAATTGCAAAACATGAATATAAATAGTTATAAATGAGATATAAATATTATTTTATTCATTTAATATATTATAATAAAAATTATTATATAACTCAATCTAAAAAAATATAGTATATATTAATACTTCGATTTCAATATACTATAAAATTGATACATTTATGTGATTGTAATTTGAAATTAATTATAAATAAATTATTAATTTGAGTTTTTATTTAAATAGTATTTTAATTTAATATTTTATAAGAGAAAAAAAAAATACAGCCATTCCCATTGAATAAAATTATCTTTATACTATATCAACTACTTACTTTAATTAAAATATAATTATTTTTTAAACTTCGCACCAAAAGTAAATATATACTTTTAAGCGAGACGAAGAGAGTATATTTTTAAACTATTGTTACCCTCGTCTCAAAACACATCAACGAGGCCTTACATGACTAAACCTGAGGTGGTGAAAAAGAATCAATGCTCGACTTGCTAGCAAAGTTCCAAGAATGGATGGTTGAACAAAAAATGAATGTGTAGTGCGTCACACGAGTCCAACAATATTGACTCAGTGTTGAGCAGAGCCAGCGGCGAAACTAGACTAAAATTAAAGGAGGGACAAATTTTCTAAAAATTATAATATAATTTTTTAATTATAAAACAATGTAAGATTTTATTTTTATTTTATTACAAAATAATAAATTACAAAAACATCAATGTCTATATATTATAGCTATATATATTATAGGATGTGTTTGTTTTGTGAAATAATTTGAATAAATATTTTTTTATATAAAATATAAAAAAATATGTATATAATAATAAAAATAATATATACTATTTTTTTTTTTTTGTTTTCCTTCTTTAATTCTTTCATGCATAGACATACAAACAACACATTACTAATATATAGGCAATAACACATACAAATACATACAATACACTATTAATTTATATTCAACACAATTAAATAAAAAATAACTTTAAAAAATTGAGACAATCTATATACACATAACACATTGTCAATATCAAGTTATCTATCTATAAATATATATATATATATACACCCGAACAAAATTATTTTCTTCAAAATATCAAAATTAATTTTATATTCAAAATATTACATTAACATCTATTTATATTGCATCATGTAACTATTTCAGTTTAAAATTTTTATTATTTAAATTCCAAACCTCCAAATAAACACACTCATATTATATATATATAAAATAGATCCTCTGCGTAGAGGGTTTGTTTTGCCTAATAATTTTTCTCTCGAGACAATTTTTAATATATATATTTTATATTTTCACAAAAATTAAATATTTAATATAAAAAATATATATTTTTAATATTATATATACGATTCATGTACCTCATATAAAAAAATTTTCTTCAAATAAAAATAAAACAACACATAATTATTGTTTAATCAACAATATTTATGGGAATAGACAACTCAACTAATATTTGTTCAACCCATAATAGTAACATAACTTATTCCTCATAATATATTATATATATATATATATATTTGTAACATCAGATAAGTAATTAAAAAATTAAACATAAGTAAAGTTATATATTTGTTTTTATGAACTTTATACAATTAAATTGGTTGGATAATTGTACCCAACATTTATTAATATAATTTTTTATTTTTTTTTAAACAACCAACAACAGTCAGATAAAAAATTATACCCAACTTTTATTAATATCATATCAAATATTTTTATTTATTTATATCTATTTTCAAAGTTTCAAAACTTTTTATTTAATCACAGACTAATTTCGGGGGATTGGTAAGAACCCATATTATTACCGACAACAATAAATGCAATAATTATAAGTAACAATTTAACAAACACACAGCCCAAATCCCAATAATTAATAATTCCTCGCGAAAATTAGGACATTTATTTAATTAGGGAATACAACGTACAAACCACAACATAATTAAAAATTGATTTACTTTCCAAACGACGACCGAGATTCTTTTGTGGATTTTACCACACATTTTTACTACTCTTTCTGTCCAAAAAACAAGTATCCATTTGCTATTTGCACGTAGTTATAGAAATATTAATATTATATTGCGAGTAGGAATAAAATAGAAACGATCAAAATAACTTTATTAATATATGTGATATAAAGGTAATGACATTTGTGTAATATATTGTAAGTTGTAAGAGTATTTATAATGTTAAGTAGACAGTACATTTACTAAAAGAGGAAATGCATACTTTGTTATAGGATGGACTAAAATGGAAAAATTGGGACGGAGAGAGTATTTAATTTTTTTTTTTCAAACAATATTATATCAAACAATTATTTTTTTTTCTTTTATATTATACTATACATTTATTTTACTTTCAAAATATCATGTAGTCTCTATTTATACAGCATCAAATAACTATTCAAAAATTCGAATTGATTCACTTTTCAAAACGACAACGTATTTAATCCACACTACCACAAAAAATTTAATACTCCTAATAATTCACTAATTATTTTATTTTAATTAGAAATAATGCATCAAATTTCTATAAGTTATCTTTACACAACATTTATATATAGATATTAAAATGCATATACGATGTGTATGAAATATTTTCAATTAAATATTAAATGACTTACCAAAACGACGTCGCGTCGCCCGAATAGAACTATCCTTTTTCTAGCCGTTACCATACACGCATTACATTCCAACAGTCACCAGCTCCGCTACTCGACCCCTTTTTTCAAAAAATCTGACCGTTGGGAAGGAATCCGAACGTTATTATTCTCCGCTCATTCTCCTTCCTTCGCTCTAAAACCACACTACGAAGACTTTGCGCTCTGTCCTAATTCTCTCTCTCGATCGCGCTTTCCTCATTTCCAATTGATTGATGATGGCGACGACGACGGAGAAATTGTTTGTAATCGACGAAGCGTACGAATTCTCGGCGCCTCGGTTTTACGATTTCATGTCCGTCGAGACCGAAGAGGAAGTACGCGCGGCGGAGCAGTGGTTTGAGAACGCTCTTCCCCACGCTCCTTCCCGTGAGTGAATTTTTTTATTTACTCTTCTGTTGTTTGCGTGGCATTAGTTGGAAATTTTAATATAATTTTAGTGTTGTGTGTTTCAAAATTTGGATTCAGAGAATTTGTTTATCAGATTTTAGGGTTTATCAATCTCTACTATTCGTCATATTGTTCGTAGAAAGTTAATTACATTTTTCTCTAAAAATGGGGTCTGGAGGTTGATTTTGAGTGATCTTCTGTTGTTGTTTGAAATTTTAATTCAATTTGAGTGTGGTGTTTCCGAAATTTGGATTAAGAGAATTTGTTTATTAGAGTTTTTTATTTTGTTGGCGTTCTCGGATTGTTAGGGTTTATCTATCAATCTCTGACGATGTCGTAATGTTCGTAGAAAGATAACTTCAGTTTCGACCAACAATGGGGTCTGGAGGTTGATTTTGGGTGATCTTCTGTGTTTCACCACTGATTTTGTGAAAATCGACAAGTTTGTTGAGTTAATGAGTCCATTGATGAATCTTGGAATCCGAATCTATAATTCTTTTATTTCTCAAGATTTTCCTCTCTTGAATCTCTGTTTTGTTCCTTGTTTTGGCACAGAATCCTTCTTGATCTAAGCTCAAACTGTTTTTTGGGTAAATTTATTGATGGATTTTTATAGGGAATGCTCTATTGTTGTGCTTATACTTGTTGATTCTTTACTGTCTCTACACCATCTCGTTTGAATTAATCATCCGTTGTTGTTCGCTGCAGCATTTATGCAAAGAATAAAAGCTAGAAGAACAGTCCAGCCTCAGATTCTGTGCGATTTTGGCGAACAAGTTAATGAGGTGACTTTTCCTCGTCTAGTCCATTTACTAAGTCTTATGTTGTATATATTCTTGATGTGAAACGAGATTTGATACTTTCATGTAACAGGGAAAAGAATTGTCCGAAAAGAATCATGGCGAGAGACCGGAGCCTGAGTCGATAAACCAGATACCAACGTTAGTCTCTTAATGGTTTCCTCAAATTAGTCGGGCTTTTGTATGCTCTTTCCTAATTAAATCTTCATTTCCTACAGACCTCAAGCAGAAGTTGGTACCGAAGAAGCTCAAAAAAGTATTAATTCCTTAGCAGAAAGTGCAGAACTCACTGCAGCTGTGACTAAAGAAAATGTGGATGAAAATATCTCGAACACCGTATGTTTTTTCTATACTTTTACCATTAGAGAAGATGCTTGCTCTGTTATCTTTGCTTCATATCCTTTCTCACATGTTATTTTCGTAAATGCAGAATTCTAAAGCTGAAAAGGCAGATGATGTCGCTGTGTGCCCCGAGGGAAATGTGAGGTATGTTCGTTTACTAGTTGTTGTTATGAACATTGCATTAGCCAACGAATACTCAAACGTATGTATTCTTTGTGATTCTCAGCGTCGAAGATGGAAAGGAGAAATTACTTCAAGGTACAGATGTTTGCACGCCGGCACCACAAAAGCCGACTGAGAACCAGAAACTTGAGGCAGCTAAAAGGATAGCCAGCAAGATTAAGAATGTATCGGCAATGACTTCCAAGAAATCAAAAGTCAAAGGCACTAAGACATCCAGTGCTCGAAGGTCGTACCTACTCATTCATGCATCTTCTAACATATTTTTCAAGTAATATTTCGTCCGCTAACTTGAGTAATTATTTTCTTCAGAGGCATAACTGCGAAGAGCAGCATCGAAACTCCAAACCTTGCCCACGAAAACCCTGCTGTAAAAAGGCAGAAACTCGAAGGAGGGAAGACGAGACAGGTCAGTTAAAGAGATACATAAACATTGTGTTTTATGGTTTCTGATTTCGTGGCTCTATTGACGACTATTATCATAATCTACAGATTCTTACTGTGAATCAAAATTCAAATCTCCCTCACAAAACTAGACACGGAACAGTCAGGAATAGCTCCAACTTTCACCAGTTACCTCCCAAGACTGATAAAGAAGACAGAAAGGTAGAATCAAACTTCATTTTATCTTAACCTTGTATACATGCTGACGACCTCATTGTTTATTTGAAGGTCTATGTTCGGGACAAAGCTGCCCCGTTTGTTTCTATGGCCGAAATGATGAGAAAATTTCAATCGAGTACAAGAGAAATGTCTTTGTCATCAAATGGTTCTCTTTTTCAGGTATAGCTTCTGCATTCTCTACATTTTAGTTATCCTTTACACGGTTACATGTATAAATACTCAATGGATTTTTTGCTTGAGGTGATGCAGGGGAAGCCTAAACTTGTGCTGACCAGGCCCAAAACACCGGAATTCCTTACCTCGCAAAGGGCACGCCCTATTAAAGTCAAAAGCTCAGCCGAACTAGAGGAAGAGATGATGGCTAACATTCCTAAGTTCAAGGCTCGTCCCTTAAATAAAAAGGTAATAGATTTTTCATTCCTACCAATAAGAGGTACAAGGATGTCATTGTTTTCTAAATGAACATTTGTCTTTTAGATATTCGAGGCCACACCTTTGCCGCCATTGCCAAGGACGGCGCCTCAGCCTCCAAGGTTCAAGGTAAACAGAATCACCGAATAGGTTTAAAGTATAACATGATGTGCTAGCACTTTTGAGCTATTTACTTAGTCCGTGGTTTTGTGGTCAGGAATTTCATTTGGAAACTATGTCAAGGGCGAATCATAACCCCGAAACATCCTCTTTGGCGTCATCGTCAGAAGCTACTACTGAGGTGAAGGTATTGTTGAGATTTTCAAATGCCTAAGCAGCATCAGCTTTCTTAATTTCACCATGTTTGCTAGTTTAACATATTTGAATCTTTGCCTTTGCAGAGTTCTCAGTGGAAGCCTCAACTTTCTGTCCCGAAGTCGCCCTGTCTTCAGACATATCTCCGGGCGCGTCCTACAAAGGTCAAGAGTTCTGAGGAACTTGAAAAGGAGGCACTCCAAAATGTACCACAATTTAAAGCAAGACCATTGAACAAGAAAGTAAGCTTTTATGGTATTTCTAAGTTCTTCATTCAAGTTCGAGACATACTAGTATCATGTTCTACGAGTTCGAGTTCGTTGTTATTCTAATGTTACTACTTTTTGACTGCAGATATTTGAAAGTAAAGGTGACATGGGCATCTTCTGCAACATGAAAAAGCAAGTTACCATTCCTCAAGAATTTCATTTTGCCACAGATCAAAGAATCCCACCACAAGCTGCAGTCTTCGATCTATTCGACAAGGTAGTTTCATTTTAACATGTTTCTTGTCTAGACCGACATGGCAACAAAGATTTTGCTGATAATTAACCCCTTTCCCTCATCTTATTTTCAGCTTTCGATAAGCTCAGAGGACAAGCATTTTCCTACAAACACAGTCCCACATCCGTTCCTTCTCTACACAGAGGTAAATCAATCATTTGCTATAGAGATTAAACAGTTCTTTGGCTCAAGTTAGTCTATTTTTTCATGTTCATCAGCAAAGAGGAATGGAGAAGGAGAAGAGATTGGCTATGGAGCTCATGCAGAAAGAGCTTGAAGAGGAGAGAGCTAGAGTGCCGAGAGCTAATCCGTATCCCTACACTACAGACTATCCCGTGGTACGTAAAAACTCAGCTTCCATTTGCCGAAAAAAGCTACTTTGACTGACTACTGATTGACTATTGATCGATTTTCTCAAATCCATTGAGCAGGTTCCCCCGAAACCAGAGCCGAAACCATGCACAAAACCAGAACCGTTTCAGCTGGAAAGCCTGTTGAGGCACGAGGAAGAAATGCAGAGAGAGCAGGAAGAGCAGAGGAGAATGGAGATGGAAGCTGCCCAAATGAGAATATTTAGAGCACAGCCTATCTTGAAAGAGTAAGAAATAAGAACTGTTTTCGAATCTTTCCATTCAGTTAAGTAATAACACTCGATCTTTGTTGCCGTTGAATGCCAGCAGTGATCCAATCCCAGTTCCTGAGAAACCAAGGATCCCCTTAACAGAGGTACAGGGATTCGAACTGCATGTCGATCACCGGGCTGTTGATAGAGCAGAATTTGATAAGAAGGTCAGCGATGAATTCAATATCAATTATTTTCATCGATTACAAAACTCTAGCTATGGAATTCTTAAAAAATAGTTGCGAATGCAGATTAAAGAGAAAGAAATGACTTACAAGAGATATAGAGAGGAGGCAGAATCAGCAAGGCTGGTAAGTTCTTGGCGACCGACCCTATGGTGATCATGTAGTCTTAAGAACAACACTATGGCTCGAATACATATTCGGGAATCTGAATTGCTCTCGTTTTGTAGATGGAAGAAGAGAAGGAATTGAAACAGTTGCGAAGAACGTTGGTTCCCCACGCTAGACCTCTACCCAAGTTCGACAACCCGTTCTTACCACAAAAGTAAACAAAACATACTACGCCCCCTTCAAACCTTAATTTTAGTTCGTGCCGTGTCTTAGTTCCTACATTGACGATCTTTTTAACTGAAAACAGGTCTGATAAAGGAGTCACAAAAGCTAAGTCTCCAAAACTGCGCGTAGATCATAGAAGGGAGAAGCGAAGAGTCGTCTACCCCACAACGACGGTAGCATCGACTACTTCTTCAGCAGCAGCAGCTTCTCGTATGAGGTGATTATTATATGTATTGTTGTGCGATAGTATTGTGCTGCTGCTATGTACGGATATGTTCAACTAATTCTTGAACACACGCCGTGGACGTTATCATGTAGTGTGTTGTGTGTATTGTGTAACGAGTTTTTCGTACTGAACCTAGCAATGTAGTTCAATTTTAAACGAAGCTCTATATATGTAATATAGTTAGAAGTTCTTACCTTGTAGCATCAAACCGAAGTTAAAATGCTCGTCATGTTTTCCATTCGCCATCGACATATTTTCCAATGGCAACCTCCAGAACATGAGCTATAGCCTCCACCACCTCATGCATCCGACTTCATGCTACCGTTCAACGTGTGAGTGCTTTAAGCGAGGCAATCCATTGTGGTAAACAAAACCCAAGGTCGATTACTTCTTCTTCCTCGCGTGATGAAACAACGAGCGATCTTAGGTGAGTAAGCTTCACAAGAGACGAGCAAAGCTCCTTTCCATCTTCATTTCTCAACTTCGAAATTCCTAACTTCCGCAACTTCGTCAATTCCCCTATTTGTCTCACAATCTTTGCACTTGTAAACATGACAATGTCCCGATCTCATATAGAGCCTCGAAGCTTTGTATATAATCGAACACAATGTGAGGAATTTCAACTTTATACGCATACAACAAGAGATCGCGTAGCTTTCGAAGCTTTAGAATCTCAACAGGCAATTCATATGCATACAACAAGAGATTGCGTAGCTTTTGAAGCTTTAGAATCTCAACAGGCAATTCGACCACTTTACATCCCTTGAGATCTAACATCTCGAGACTTACAAGATTTCCCATAAGTTTTGAAACGACTGAGACATTCGTATTCCTTAAGCTTAGATACTTGAGAAGATATAACTTGAAAACCTCGTCCGGTATAGTTTCCAACGGAGCTCTTCGTAATTCTAGAACCCTCAACAATATACATCTACCATGCAAAACTTTCCGTAGGATCGATGCCCAACCCATATCAACCGAACCCCAAAATAGAAGAGTATGTAGATACCCAAAGCTATCGATTTTCTCATTGTAATTGATAAAGCTATAATCAAGTGCTAGGCGCCAGGTTCGATCTATCCATGTCATTTCTACTTACCATGTTTTGTTCTATCTTTGAAATAGCATACTCTCACACAAGGTCGTGGAGACGGAAATTTCTTGGTCTATCATCGTCATATGTTGAGGCTACTTGGACTAGACTTCGGTTTGTCAACTCGTAGAGATATTGCTCGGCAATATCTTCCATTGTCTTCCCTTCCCTTGCCTTCACGAATCCTTCGGCTATCCACAGTCGAGTTATAGTACCCTTTTCGAGCAACTCGTCCTCCAGGAAAATACTCAAGTACAAGAGGCAACTTTTCGAGTATTACGGCAAGTCGTGATAAATAAGAGACAATAATCGCCACATCCTCTTAAAAACATCGCCATTCGCCTCAGACGCCAGACTAATGCTAAACCGTATCCATTCTTCCATTCTATTTACCTTGGTGGCTAGAGCTCCGCCGATTAAAACGATGGCGATGTTTCTTGAAATCTCGACGAGATGGTTGGGACAGGGGAGACCGACGAATGCCTTTAAGTGAAATAACTTCTCAGCTTCTTGTGGAGGCAATGGCTGCAAATGATAGACATGGCCACCACTCTCCTAACAAGCGGTGTAGCCTATGTCGCTCGAGCGACTAGTGATGACATTGCAGCCCTGATCGTGCGCGCTGCTTCTCGGAAACACATATTGCAGCGCTTCCCACACGTTTGTGCTCCAAATATTGTCGAGAAGGACGATATACTTTTCATTTTCGAGGAACTGTGAATGAACTCCCTCATACTGTCTCACCTCTTCTAATAGCTGCCTAATCAAGTCGAGCAGAAGATTTTCGAGCTTGTACGTCTCCGAGACAGTGATCCAAGCATGATGATCGAAGCCATCCTTCACCAATGGATCATCGTAGTCTTACCCAATCCGGCCATTCCCACCACCGAAATCACTTTCGACTTATAATCATCGGCCGATATCCACTTGATGAGCTGATTCTTCGGCGTTTCGATCCCCACCACATCCGCTTCCGGCAAGAACAATGCATCGCCTCGACCGTCGTAGTATCCGTCATTCGCAGTCGACGTCGAGCTCGATTCCAGCAGCGCTGCAGACATGTCTCTGAATGTTTTGAAAGCAGACTATAATCTGGATCTAAGTGCTCTGATTTCAGAAGCCAGATTATGCTTAGCTCATAAGTTCTTCACCGCAGAATAGAATTGTCTGCGGCTTCCAGATAGGAGGATGTAGCTCTTGAGAACATCTTCGATTTCGTAAGCAATTTCGCGCACTTGCCGCAGCAGTTCGTTCAATTTGGGATCGGTTCGTTCTCTGGCATCTTCATCTCTGAGAAACGCTACCATTTGCTGCAGCTCGCCATAAATGGCTAGGGCTTCCAATCGAAGACCGCCGAGCAAGTTCGTCTCCTCGCCGAGCCACGCCGACAGTTGTCCGAGCAGAAACGCTACGGCGCTCTCCGCCGTATCCGATTTCTGCGAGGAAGTTCCTCAATGTCCAGCGGATTTCTACCTCAAAACAGTCGATTCGCGAAAAAACCAGAAACAAAACCTTTTCAATTTAAATAATAGAAATATAATAACAAATTTGCATAAAATCCAAAATCCAGGTGAATGATCCAACTAGAAACTTAGAACAGTCGAACAAAGGCGAGAAAACAAGCGGAAACAGATTTGTCCTTCGAAGCAGTCGATTCACGAAAAAACATCAGCAACAAAACCTTTTCTATGTAAATCAGAAGCAGTAAACAGAGAAATACAATAACAATTGTGTAAAATCCAGAAATCCTGACGAATGATCCAACTACAGACTTCGAACAGTTAAGAACCAAAGCGGAAATTAGCAGTAGCATAGGATTTAAAAAAGAGAAAAAAAACAGAGCAAGCTAATTAGGAAATGGTTAAGTAATCAATCAAATCAAATTCCTGGCTTCCTGCAACAATGAGGGAGTAGAACGGTGAAGTGTGAACCTGAAGACGAACGCGTTCAGGATGAATCGTCGCGTGTTTGGACTAAAACCTCACAATCATAATCATAAATCCAACCAGACACCATTATTGCTACATTACTCAAGCATATGCTCCCTCCCTCCCCAAAACTAAGTATTTATTAATTTTATAAATATTAGTATTATATTGAGATATAATAAATATATAATGATATTTGTATAATATATTGTAAGTTGCAATGGTATTTGTAATGTTAAGTAAATAGTACAATTACCGAGAAATGAATACTTTGTTATGGACGAACTAAAATGAAAAAATAGATACTTTGTTACGGGACGGAAAGAATATATAATATTTGATGATGGGTTGTGTGGGATTTTTTTTTTATTTGAAAACAGCATTTGTTTGAAGATTTGAATTTTTTTATTAAAATATAAATAAATATCGATATGATATTTTGAATATAGAATTTATTTTTAATATAATATAAATAAAAATAATATATACTTAAATTTGATATTTTTATTAAAAATTTTTTAATAAAAATTTAAAAAAATTTTGATAAAAAACACACTCATGTATATAAGCTTCATTGTTAGGAAGTGTACACGTAGGGTGTGTTTGTTTGGGGATTTGGATTTTGAGTTGGGATTTGAATAGTAAAAATTTTGAATTTGAATAGTTGTATGATGTGATATAAATAGGGTTTGATGTGATGTTTTGAATGTAAAATTGATTTTTAGTATAATATAAAAAATAAAAAATAAGTGTTTGATTTGATGTTTTTGGGGAGAAAAAATTGGATGAATAGTGGAAATCCACCAAAATCCTTCAAACAAACACACCCGTAATGTACACAATGTACTTGTATATACAATGGAAGAATTAGAACTCTAAGGGAGCTAATTTTTTAATATTTTAATAAATACAATTTATTTATAGCGTTGATTGGAGCTAATTCTTGCTCAACATATTGTAATAATATACACAATTTATAGTTGTTGAAAGTCTTCACAAACATTGAAAAATAATAACTATACTGTATATTGTAGATTTTGTTTTAATTTTATTTTTATCATTTTGTATTGTTTAAAATCTACAAATAATATAGTTTTTTCAACAACAAAAAAAAAAATTACTTTAAAAAATCATTAAAATTGTCATCGAAAATTATGCACATTGGGTTGGATATATGAGCTTTGTTTAGATAGATGTTTTTGGAATTTTGAAAGTTTGTTAAAAAAAAAATAAAATAAAATTAGTATTTGATTTGATGGTTTGTGAGAGAAAAAATATATTTGATATGATGTTTTTAAAAATAAATAGTGTCAAATGAGTGAAAGTATATTAGTAAAAAAATAAAATGATAGTATTTTTATGACAACTCAGATAGAAAAATAATATAAATTTAGATGACAAAGAAAGTATTTGATTTTTATTTTATTTGAATTTGAATATTTTATTTAATTTTTTGTTTAAATAATATTTTAGAAGAAAAAAATTCTATATTTTTATTAAAAATTATACAAACAAAATTTAACATTCTTTTATACTATCTTTTTCAATAATTTTTTATATTTCATCCCTCATTTATTTTTTATCTACATCTAAATTTATTTGTTTTATTTTTTAAGTAAAATAAAATACTAATTTTTCTATTTTTTTTTTCTTTACTTTCATTTTTTTTTTATTTTATCTACTTTCTTAAAACTCGTATCTAGTCAAATGAATATATTTTTATGATGGAAAGAATAGTATATATAATATATTTAAAGAAGAATTATATGCATACTTTAGTTTGTAATTTAACATTGCTGAATTACATCTAATCTATTCATTTTATATATAATAATTATAATTCAATTTTTTTTTTCGTCTAATCTCTCCCGGGCTAATTCAAAGTTTTTTTCTTCCATCATTTCATTTTTCCTTTACCTTATGTCATTTTATTCGGAGTTCTTGCATTCTATTCCGGTGCTCAAATGTGTGAATCGGATTCCATTTCTGCTCGAGAGTTGCGTGGATCACGATTTGAATATTTGGAAGTTAGGCTCCTAGTTTAGGGTTTAGATTAGGTTTTGAATATCCGAAATTTGAATCTTGATTATATTTTGATTCATTGCTTGAAAGAGGTGATTCCTGCAATTTTTCGCATTTATTTTAGGCATAACATGTAACTATTTGGGCAAATTTGGCGGTGGTTGTTTGCTTTTAAAATAATATGGAAACTAAGTTTGTATAATATATTTTTAGGGAGGAAGTAAAGAGTATAGCTGTTCTATTTGTGCATTTGTTTTAAATGTATAATTATTTTAATTATGTAATTTTATACAAAAGAATAAGCAATTAATCAATTGTATAGATATAAAATCATCTTAGCTTTGTGAAAAAGTAGCAAAACAAAACTTGATAAAATTTGAAGATTGAAACCACATATTTAAATTTGGTTTATGAAAATACCTTGGACTATATTCACCTATTTGACTGTTTCATTGATAGTCTTGCATTGTGAATTCAGCAATTGTGTTTTTTATTTTTTACTTTGTGCAAAATCGTTTGCTTGTTGAAATAATTTAATGAATAATGGTGAAAATACAAAAAATGTATGCATTGTGAATTGTAAAATTATTTTGCGGTATGCTTTATTCATCAATTCAATGCATATATTATTGTGAATCAAAAATTTGAATTTGAATGTAATGTGTCATATTGGCCTCCAATGCAATAAAATTTGTTGTATTACCTCTGCTTTGTCTCACTTAAGTACTTCCAGTTTTTTAATTTCATGGGAATAAATAAAATGAATGAATAATACTAGTAAAAAGTCACATACATAATTGCAGTGTATTATTGTTGTATACTTTTATTTATTGCGTTATGTTTAAAATTTATGTTTTTATACGGGAGAAATAGCTAAACATGTTCAAATGTATTCCATCCCACCTAAAGTAGTTAAGTTGAAGAAGTTATCGGTTTGAAAATAAAGAAGTCTTTAACCATGTATTGTGAATTTGTGTTTTGAGGCTCTATCTTATAAAAATTATAAAAATAAATAGTGAGTCATTACTTCATTTAATGAGATATTGGGACATTGAGAAAAAGTGTTGTGTTCTTTTAGACGGGACAAAATGACATATTACTGATGAAGATGTTGCTCGAGTATATGGGCTCCCGCATGATTTTGGTAAAAGTCTCGTATCTTTAGTAATGCATTCGAACTATTGTGGTGAAATTTATAAAATTAGCTAACGGTTCGGCTGTATACAAAAATTCGATGGTAGAATAAAATTATTGATTATTAGAGATATTAGAATATTCTAGATTGCATTGACTTTTTTTAGAGATTTTATGTCCAAAATAATAATAATAATAATAATAATAATAATAATAATAATAATAATAATAATAATTGTTTCTTGAGGTTCATCGTGCATCCTGAGGATGCTATAAATATAATTGGACTGCTGTAATAAAGGACACATTGGTGGATTCAATTCACAATTTTAAGTATACATTGGTGCATAAAAAAAAATCAACTTGTAAACCGACATGATATATGAATTGTCTTGTGGTAAGTAATCTATAAATATAATATGTACATAAATATCTCTGTACTTTTCTCTCTCTATATATTTTTTTGTTATTTTCAGCATTTGTTTTACGATCTAATTTATCGTAAAAATCTGAGGATTATGAGCTTTACTTGCTCTTTTAAAAGACATATATACTTAGATGATGTTATTCATTATTTTGGGGACTTTCCAATTGAAACTCAAAATAAATTAGTCAAGAAAAATATGATATGTGTTACATATTATATTGTAAGGTGAAGGACTTTTAAAATTTCAAATGTCATCCAAATAGGCATCTTGTTTTCCAACATTTAAGACTAGATAAGCGTCTTGTTTCCTAACATTTAAAACCTGAATTAATTTGTTAGTTTATTCAACGGATATTGTGTAGAGAGCTTTGCCATTTAAAATTTAAGTATATGAATGAATTGTAATCATTGAACTCTCTTTATGTTTGCAGTAGAAAAGTACAAAAAAATAGGGCTTCTATCATGTTAAAAACTAATATATTATTTGGGTAAACTGTTTTTTAATCCCGTAACTGAACCCTTATCATTTTAGTCCCGTAAGTGGAGCCTGTCGCAAACTAGTCCCATAAGTAAAAAATTTTCGTTGTTTTAGTCCTTCGGCGCGGACACGCCCGCTTGGCTCGCCGGACTTGGAATTTCTTTCTTTTTTTTTTTTCATTTCTTAAAATATTTTATTTTTTTTTTAATTTTATTTTCTTTTATTTTTAATTTTTTTATTTGTTCAACTGAAAAAAAATAAAAAAATGATAAAATAAAATACAATCTACGTGTCCGCTAGGTGTCGCTGACCTGGCGGGACACCTGGCGGACACGTGACTTCCGGCGAGCCACGAGGGCGTCTCCGGCGCCAGAAGACTAAACAACGAAAATTTTTCACTTATGAGACAAGTTTGCGACATGCTCCACTTACGGGACTAAAATGATAAGGGGGTCCCGTTACGGGACTAAAAAAAATAGTTTAAGAACTATTGATTTTAAAGTTGGATGTAATTGCAGATAAATAACATTAGAGAAATAGAATTATGGAGAAGAATAATTGAGTAGATAATGAAAATTGATTTTTTGTTTAGTAAATCATAAATTTCAGTTGAAAAAAAAAAGGCATAAAAAGAATAAATCAATCACTCTAAATTCATAAATTAGATAAAAAAATTATTATTGTATTTTCTTAGTTTGATAATTTATTTTAATAATAATTTAAATATGATATTTCATGAAATTTGAATAATATAAAAATTATAAAATGATAAATAATAATAGTAAAAGTCAAATGTAAAAATATAAAATAAATAAACACACACTAAACTCTCTATATTTCATTCCGCTTAATTTCTCTTCATATAGAAGATAAATGAAATTAAAAAATAAAAAATGATTTCCTAACTTTCAATTTTTTGTGTCAACCAAATAAGAAAAATGAGAATATTTATATTTCTCTATTTCATTTTTCTGTATCGAACCACCCTTAAATGATAAACTTTTGATTGTAAGACAATAGATTATTTATC